GCGATTGTCGTGAAAACTGAATCCCATCCTGAAGCGATGGCAAATTTGTTGAAGATAAATATGCTGATCATGACTGAGATGGGAATTGAGGCATTTCATAAACAGATGGCGAGGGTGAAGATGTAGGCGTAGAGCTGTACAATTGGTGAACTTGTGGATACATACTGTTCATTTCTAAATTGAATAATATACTATTTATCTATTGTTAAGCAATTAAACGTTGACGAAAATCCAATTTTCTAAACTTAGAGGCAACCAATTCACCAAAAATTTCACAGTCATCTCAAAATTTTGGTGTTTTTCTACTAGCAGAAATATCTTGAATGATTTTAAATGTTTCATTTAACATTGAATCTTCTTGATTTTTTTTCCGTGCAAATTTTTTTGGAGATTCAGCCGCCTTTATTTTGTTTTTATTTTTTTGTACAGATACATTTTAAAGAATTGTAGTGGATTGTGATGCAAGCRTATTTTCAGAAAATAGTTCTGGTACGTTTTGTATTTCATGATCAGTTATTTGTGAAATATTTTCTACTTTTTCTTCATGAAGTTTATCATCGGGACTTGTTGATTAAATATTATTGTTGACTGACCGTAAAAACAAATATAAAGTAATTTTTTTTATTTATTTAGTTTTAATATTTTAAGAAAAACTAGTTGGTATTATAAAAAATTTATAAATATTAATTTAGAAATGTATTTAACTATTAGTAATATGAAAATTTGGAACAAATCTACTTTACCAAAAACCCTTTTTTCAATATTTTTTCCGAAATAAAGTGGTTTTTTATGATGAGCAGTAGAAATTTAAGAATTTAAACTATTTTTACTAAAGGTAGAAAATAATTCCCAAATTTTCGTAAACTTGAGAAATACATAAAGCTACGCCCAGAATCTATTATGTAACAAAAATTAAAAATTAATTACCTACAATAGATACTTATGGTGTTTGTAAAAAGTCATCATCAGAATAGTAGCTTGTAGCTAATTGTATAATTATAAATTATAGTACATTATAATCATACATAAATAAAGTGTTTGAACATTTCATGAAATTTAAAAAAATGAAATATTTCAGTATTTTAATAAATTTTGTTTTATTTTTAAATAAGTTTTATATTTACATATAATTGTCAGAAATTACCTTCATAATTGTATGGTACCTATATGTACCTAACCTTTGGTATAATAAATTTCAAATGGTATTCAAAATTTCTAAATATTATAATGTTTAAATGATACAAGTAGGTACACAATATTATACATRTTTATTGTATACGTTCTTACACTAGAATTTAGAACACTGAACMCTGTGTTAAAAAAAATAAAAAATAATGTTTTTTTTTGTTTCACGTTTTTGTGATATATTTCATACTTCAAACACTACATACATATAATACTCTAGTTGTATCATAGACCTTATACTCATAGACGGAGCATCACTGGTTGGCGGGGTTGGGTGGTGCGGTCATAGCTATCACCTTAGCAGTGTTGTCATTTCTGATAACATAAAATATGTTTATTTATTTATATTATTAAGATATTAATGTTGTAACATAATTAATAGGGCTCGGGATTATGCATTTGCAAATTT